CTTAGACTTATATACTTCTTCACAGTGTTTTACAGCCCCCTCTAAGCGGTTTACAGAGTCACCCTCTTGCCCCCAACAATCTGGGTCTTCATTTTACCCACCTCGGAAGGATGGAAGGCTGAGTCAACCTTGAGCCTAGTGAGATTCGAACTGCCAAATTGCAGTCAGCTGGCAGTCAGCACAAGTAGACTGCAGTACTGCACTCTAACCACTGCGCCACCGTGGCTCATACCAAATGAGCACATTAAATGATCCTTCTGAGTCTTAAACTGTAATAACTGTACTAATCATTTCTGCTGGTCTTTCTTCAGGTGATCTTCCAAGCCTTTGACATCAAAGCGTTCACTCAGGACAACCATCTCGTGGATATAATGCAGATATTTCTTCTGTATGGCTGGGCCATTATCCCTCTCATGTACCTCCTCAGCTTCTTCTTTTCTGTAGCAGCCACAGCCTACACCCGCCTCACCATCTTCAACATCTTCTCTGGCACAGCCACGTTCTTGGCGGTCGTCATCATGAGCATTCCCGGTAAAGCAATTTGGACTTTGTCGCTTTGGTTGAAACGTTTTCATGGCTTTGAGCCACCAAGGTTAACTTTGTTCTTCCCACCTGTCTTCTCTTCCAGAACTTGGAATGGTGGATCTTTCCAATATGTTGGATAAAATCTTTCTAATCCTACCCAACTACTGCTTGGGACAAAGTATCAGCAAGTTCTACCAGAATTATGAGTTCATTCAGTTCTGCACTTCTTCTTTTGAGTCGGTGCTCATCTGTAAAGTATTTAGTGAGTATCTTGGGCAGTTTTGAAGGAGACTATTTGTGACTCAGGGTTGAAACGAAGGGTCCTTGGTGCTCTCTGAATTGGGTGGTTTTCTTTCAAATGTTTCTTGACCCAACTAGGGAACATCATCAGTGCTAGAAGGGAATGGGGGATTTGTGGAGAGGAGGAGGTGGAGGAGAGAGGGAGCGGAGGAGGGATAGAGGAGGGAGGAGGAAGAGGAGGAGGAAGAGAATGACTGTGAGGTTCTTGGCGCTCTCTGAACACTGATGACGTTATCTACTTTGGGTAATGAAACATCTACAAGGAGACAACCAAACTCAGAGACCACCAAGAACCCCTCATTTTTTAATTAACAAGAGACTGCTATTAAGCATGGCAGATGTGCATTAGTGAGGACTTAGAATTCAGATCAGTGAAGGAACCTGGTTTTATCCCAAGCACACTCAGGTCTAGGTTCTCATGTCTAGAGGCCCATTGCAAGTCAACATACAGTTGCTTTCATCCCACCAAGTAGACGTAGATGCAAAGTGTAGACACACTCAGAACGTATTGATGGATTATCAAGCAACTGAAAAGAGGTCAACTTTTAGCTTCATTGCCAAGTTCTCAGTCCCAACAGACCATTATATTAGATCGTCTGATGTAGTATATTTCTTAAGGTAAGTATTATGAGTTAATTAGGTGACACTGAATTAGGTTCAACTTCTGGTATGGACAAATGCTCACCATCCTAATCTTATTTAGTAATCATTCCAATATTAATCTCATCCATAGACCTTATCTATTATCTTCCCTTTCTTCTATTCCCTCGACTTTTTCAAGTGTAATTGTTTTCTTTAGTTCCTCATCCACTCTCATCACCTGCCCAAAGGACGTAAGTATCTGCTTGCTAATTGACCACTGAAGGAAGCAGTCAAGCTTTGTCCAGGATTGACCAATTCTTTGCCAGGTCATGGTTCTCTTGGGAACCATCCTGAAATCCATAGTTCAAGTGCATTTATCTTAGTTCTTTCGTTCTTTCTCAACTGTCCAGTTTTCATAGCCTGGCATTATCATAGGAGGGTTCATTGCTTCAACACTTCCGATCTTTGTTGCAATAGAAATGACTAACCTTCATAAAATAGACAAAGTCCACATGTTCCTTTGTCCGGGTAGTGATTTAAGAGCTGACCAGCTGATGCAGTGATATAATGATGGGAATGAGTCAGCAAAGTTTTTTGGCTGTTATCCCTTTAAGAGCCTATATAATAAGAAGAGGCCCTGTTAGGGCGTCTCTTTCTCTCACTGTGTGTTCTTCCCTGCTGTAATTGCTGCTTGTTTGACCACTGCCTATAGTACGTGTATGTATAGTATTCTTTTGTAGATAAAACCACTATTTATTACAAAGCTCTGTTTGCTGTTATTGCTCCTGCATTGCCTCACGTAGTAAAGCTGTGCACCCTCTGACATCCTTGCCCAAAACCCAGCAACACCACCCATCTCAACCCCATCACTCTGCCCTCTTTGCATAATTGTCCCATACCCTTGACTCTCAGTTAGAAGATTGGTGGAGAGACTTCAACCATCGGAAGATTGCTGTCTCCTGAAATCATCTTTTTTTTTGTCCTCTTCTCCTCTCATTCCTCTTCCAGATATCACCTACCAGACAAACTACTTCGCTTGGGAAAGCCCAGGCGTTGGAAAATACTTGACAGCTATGGCAGCTCAAGGGCTCTCCTTCCTTCTCCTGCTCTTTCTCATCGAGACTAACCTTCTCTGGAGAATGAGGACCATTGTTTGCGACATACGGCGGAGGCGGAAATGGGTGAGGCTTTCCTACCAAGGAATCCCTTCCTTGGCTGAGTCCTTCAGACTTTCTCAATGTTGCATGTAGATTAACTTTCCCCCCAAATTTCTCATGATGTAATGGAGGGGGGAAGAAGGTGGCATCATCTGATGAAAGCAAAGCAAATTGTTGGCATCTGGGAATGCAATAACAATAGCGATAACAATAACAATAACAATAATAATGGGAGGAGGAGGAGGTTTGGTAATAATAAGATAAGGTTTGGTTCATTGACATTGACACACAGCAAGAAAAAAATCACAAAGTATCGGGACTTACAAATTGAAGTTGGGAGACTTTGAAAAAAGAAATCATGTGTTATCCCAATTGTAATTGGAGCCCTTGGAGTAATACCTCGCTATTCGGAAATTCTGAATTTATCAGACTTGAGTACCCTGATTCTACAAAAAAACACCCTACTTGGAACAGCTTATATCCTCTGACGCTACCTTAACAGTTCCAAGGTCCTTGGTTAGGACTTGAGCTGTTGAGCTATCAACCAGCCCCAAAGGCTGTGAATCTCACTAAAGATTAAATAATAACAATAACAACAACAACAGCAATAATAATAATAATGGTAGTGGTAGTAGTCTATTGTCATTGTACGTATATACACAATATACGCATACAATGAAATTCACTTAACACCCAGAGACCAGACCCAACACACACACACACACACACACACACACACATGACAATCCCCAAAAACCTCCCTACCCACCAAAATTCCCCATCCCCTAAAAACACGCAAGCATCCACACAACAGTCCAAGTAATACTGTCCAATAGCTGACTGATGATGGTCCTTAAGTTCATTGTTAAGTGCAATTATAGCTCTGGGATAAAAACTTCAGAAAACGTGGGGTCCGAGTTTTAATGGTTTGGTATCTTCTGCCGGAAGGCAACAGTTTCACAAAGATTGTGAGCAGGATGGGAAAAGTCTGAGAATGTTGTGCGACTTCCTCAAACAGCGAGATGCGAAGATGTCATGAAAGGGCTGGTAACTGGAGCTTGATGATATCCTGGGCAGTTTTAATGATTCTCTGTAGAGCTCTGTAGGCCTTGCAAGGCTGTTGAGTAGATCTCAACAGTCTTCCAAGAATTGCTACCTCAGTATACAATGGTGGGGGAAAGATTAAAACCTGTTGTGTAGTCATATTAAGTACAGGTAACCCTTGACTTACAACAGTTCGTTTAGTGACTCTTCACTGTGGTCACATGATCAAAATTCAAGATGCTTGGCAACTGACTCATATTTATGACGGTTGCAACGTCTCGGGGGTCATGTGATCCCCTTTTGCGACCTTCTGATGATCAAAATCAATGGGGAAGCCAGACTCACTTAACAACCGGGTTACTAACTGCAGTGATTCACTTAAGAACTGTGGCAAAAAAGGTCATAAAATGGAGCAACACTCGCTTAACATCTGTCTCACTTAGCAACATAAATTTTGGGCTCCTTGATTTACACAGTCCTTGATTTACAACCAAAATTAAGCCCAAGATTTCTTTTGCTAAGCGGGACAATTTTTCAGCGAATCCTGTCCCAATTTTATAATATTTTGGCCATCATTGTTAAGAGAATTCACTGGCGTTTTTAAGGAAGGAAGGAAGGAAGAAAAGGAATAGCAATAGCACTTAGATTTATATATTGCTTCACAGTGCTTTTACAGCCCACTCTAAGCAGTTTACAGAGTCAGCCTATTGTCCCCAATAATCTGGCTCCTCATTTTACCCACCACGGAAGGATGGAAGGCTGAGTCAAAACTTTGAGCCGGTGAGAATCGAACTGCCAAATTGCAGGCAGCCAGCAGTCAGCAGAAGTAGCTTGCAGTACTGCAGTTTAACCACTGCGGCACCGTGGCTCATTTGCTTGATTTTTCATGCCGTTCAACAGGTCATGCTGCTAAACCAGGTTCCGGTGCTTCCAGAAGACCGGGATGTTGCTGATGAAAGAAAGAAGGTTCTGGAATCTCCAGTAGCATCAATTTCTTCTCTGAATAGTCCTCTGGTGATTAAGGAGCTTACCAAGGTAGATGTTCAAGGTAGCTTCTAAAACTCCCTGGTATCGCTCACCAAAACCTCGTCAAAATAATGTAAACCACTTTTGAAGCAGAGGTTCTGACCAAGTTCTGGAGAACCAGTAGTGGAAATTATGAGTGGTTCAGAGAACCGGCAAATACCACCTCTGACTGGCCCCGCCAACCCCATCTCTTCTCTGCCTCCCATTGAGTCCCAGCTGATCGGCTGGGTCTTCTTTGGTTGCCCTGCACAGGAGAAGGGAGCTGGAAATCAGGTTAGAGGGGTGGGGAGGGAATGCAGATTTTGCAGTAAACCTTCCCTTGCCACGCCCACCAAGCCACGCCCACAGACTCTGACTGGCCCCGCCAACCCCATCTATTCTCCGCCTCCTGAGTCCCAGCTGATCAGCTGGGTCGCCTTTGGTTGCCCTGCACAGGAGAAGGGAGCTGGAAAGCTGGTCAGTGGGGTGGGGAGGGAATGGGGATTTTGCAGGATCCTTCCCCTGCCATGCCCACCAAGCCATGCCCACCAAGCCACACCCACAGAACCGGTAGTAAAAAAATTTGAATCCCACCACTGTTTTGAAGTACATACTTTTTATGCAAAAAAAAAATTCCAACTGAAGAAATAGTAGATGGTTTTACTGGTCCCTGAAGTCTAGAAAGTAACTGTGGTTCTCCAGAAAAGATTTACATATTTATATTGTTTCTCCATAATGTTAATGTTAAACCCTTAAATCTCAGTATAAGCCATAAAGATGATATAAACCTTCTAAACATAGAACTGGCTTTCTGTGAAAAAGGATTGGCTTTTATTTATTGATTTGATGTTCATCCTGCTTTATTCTGAGGTCTTTATTCAAGACCGTGTCCATAGCTACATGTTCATAGCTTAAGGAAGAGAATTTATGGCCTCTTGGTTTCTAGTCTGATGCTTTAACCACTGCACCTAACTACCTCCCTACACTAAACTTTTGCTTGAATTATGGTAGGACGCAGGTTCTTTGTTATTGGTTGAAAACGTTGAGAACCACTGGAGTGGATTCTCTCAACCTTGACAACGTGAAGATATAGGTGGACTTGAACTCTCAGAATTCAGGGTTCTGGGAAGTGAAGTCCATACACCTTAAAGTTGCGAAGATGGAGAAATTTTACACTAGAGCAGCGGCTCCCAACCCTTTGGCTAACATGAATTTAACAAATTCATCAGTCAATTGCAAAAGGCAGCTTGACTTGGAATAGCTTACATCCTGAGATGACAACCACATCTATCTATCCCAGGTTCTTGGGAAGGACTTGATAGGCACACAAACATGCCAAATCCAATCTGACTGTGCAACCAGCCACAGTAGCACATAATAATAAATGATTATTTATTGATAAGTCTACAATAATAAAGTAAACGATAATGAATAGTATTAGCAGCAATAAGGCCAGCTTTGTGTGTTTTACATCTGCCACTGTTGGTTTTTTTCCCCCCACTTTTGTTTTTCCAGGTGTATAGTAGCAGGGATTCTTGTCTGGCTGTGGACAGAATCTCTCTTGTGGTCAGCAAGGGAGAATGTTTTGGCCTTCTGGGTTTCAACGGGGCAGGCAAAACCACAACCTTCAAGATGCTAACAGGGGACGAGAGCATCACCTCGGGAGATGCTTACGTGGATGGACACAGCATCCTGGACAATATCAAAAAGGTAACGGGAGAGTTGAGGCAGAGTGGCCTAGTGGCCTAGAGATGGAGATATTTCTCTCTCTGAGAGCAATGAGTAATTGCTGTGAACACCGCACAAGCGTCAAGAAGGGCATCCGGCCAGTAAACTGCTCAGCTCCATTCAGTCGCCATGACTCAACCCCGATGCAAGGGATTACAGGGTCATTAAAAGAAAAGAAAAACGGGGGCGTTGAGAACAGACAACAGCTGTTGTTGATGAAGTTGACAAAGTCATGGATTCCTGTTCTAGGTTAGATAATTCCAGTTTTGTCTTTTGGGGACCCTGAGGAATTTTTGCTGACAATATCTGCAATGGGCTAACTCATAGGTCCAGGGGATTGAGTTCTCCAGATTCTGTAATTTGCAAAAAAGACAAAGCCACAGGTCAGTTGAGAGGAGGAAATATCAGGTGTCCAAATCCTACTTCAGATTCATTTCTGATGTGGATATTGTGGCCCTTATTGGGAGATATAGGGAGACTTCCAAGCCTCATTGGGAACTCCAAAACTTTGCCTTCAACACCTTTCAAAAATGCCTGGCAAATTGTTATTTTGACTATGAGAAGAGAGAAAGAAGCCATCTTCTTTAGGATATTGCATTTAAGTAAATAAACTAAATTACACTTGGTCTTCTGCATCTTTATCTTGACCTTTGTCCACCTCTGGGGGTATGAATTCCAGCACATCATTCAAGGGCCATCTACAGTGGTTGGCCGTTCCACAACCTTGATTTGAGCTCAGTCTTGAGAAGTTCCCAGGAGCCCCAAACATCTTGGGGGCAAGGGAGATCCAGATCACACTGTGTGTTCTCCTTTCCGGTTGTTGTTATTTTCTTGGCAAATTCTAACCTCAAGTGCATTTCTCACAAGCTCTCAAAGATCAGCATTGAGCATTTGGAAGGAAAAGACACAATTGCTAAGTGCAGTTAGGATCCTTCTACGTGCTGGTTTTCTTGCATACATGTCTACCTCAAGGAGAATAAGTGGGAATTGTTCCTTATTTGCACCATACTCCTATGACTGAACACGAGCAGTTTGTGGCTTGTGGTTGAGCAAGGACTTAAATCTGGGTCTTCTTGGTTTCACTTCAGCCCCTAAGCTGGTTTGGAGGAGCATCCTGGTGGCTACTAGCTATGGAGCTAGTTGTCCAAAGTTCACCTCCATACGAAGAAACCAGGATAATTGGGACCATCACCGTCTCATAAGCAGGTAGGCTGGAGATGTTCTTCTCAACTTGATTTGATCTGCCTCCAGATCCAGCAGCGGATTGGCTACTGTCCTCAATTCGATGCACTTTTGGATCACATGACTGGAAGGGAGACCTTGAGCATGTACGCCCGACTGCGGGGCATCCCTGAACGCTACATCGGCAGCTGTGTGGAGAACATGCTTCGCGGGTTGCTCTTAGAACCTCATGCCAACAAACTCATCCGCACATACAGGTGAGAAGCCTTGTGAACCAAAGGCGAGGTTCACCTCCTACACTCATCCATGATGGGAGGTGGGATGAAGTGGGAGCAGGGGCTTTGTTTCATGATCAGAAATGGCTGGTGGCAACTGGGTGTGGTCCCACCACTCATGACCTTCTTCTTCTCTGTCTCTGCAGTGGTGGGAACAAGCGGAAACTAAGTGCAGGAATTTCTCTCATTGGTGGACCTCCTGTGGTGTTCCTGGATGAACCCTCCACGGGCATGGACCCTGTGGCCAGGCGCCTATTATGGGATGCAGTCGCTCGGACACGGGAGTGTGGGAAGTCCATCATTATCACTTCTCACAGGTTGGGCCTGTTTCTCTGTCTTCCATCACCCTGGGGAAAGATACGGATATCTGTCAATCTCTAGGCCAATGTTTCTCCATCTTGGCTGGTGCTTGAAGATCTGTGGACTTCAACTCCCAGGATCCTCCAGCAATTCTCAGAGTGGGGCAAAGGATCTTCCTTTTTGTTATTTTTAATATTCTGCACCAAACAGTCACCTGCCCATTTAGTTTAGTTTTAGTTTACTTTATTGTCATTGCACCTCGTACAACGAAATCAAACCCCATCTTCAGGGCACATCATGACCTTGAAAATAAACACAAACACACATCCTTCACCCTCCACACATTGAATTGAAAACCCCCACCGCACCAACACTGCACTATACGGTAGAATTCAAAAGAGCTCCTGCCCTGGGATAGAAGCTGTTTTTCAGCCTATTTGTCCTTGTTTTTATTATTCTGCACCGTCTGCCAGATGGTAATAGTTCAAAAAAAGGGTTCCCAGGATGAGATGGATCAGAATAGAACTCCTTAGCATCAGAGCGTGTTAATTACCATATTAAGAAATAGTAATGATCTGATAGTCATTTCAAAAAATCCTTAGTGAGCACCTAGAAGCCAAGAGGAACATATGTGCCAGATTTCAAGTTTGTAGGCTTTATGGTTCTGGAGATTTCATGATGAGTGGGTGGTACTTGGCTTTTATATAGTGTTATGGTCTGTCGGCAGCCTGCGGAGATGGCAGCAGAGTCAGACAGTAGGGAGGAACATGGGCCAGTCCGGGAGTCCGTAGAGGGTCCTGCATCTGATACAGAGATGGGGCCAGGACCATCTGGGAGTTACGTGCTGACTCCGGAGCTTCCAGAATCTGACAGCAGCAAGGCAGAGGAACAAGGGGAGCCTGTTCCCAGTGCGCATGTGCACAGAGCTGCTAGAAGGCAAGAACAGTTAAGACAAAAGGGTTGAATCAGGAGTAAGGCTTGGAGGTGATTGGCTCCTCCCATAAGACATAAAGGAGGAGCAAAGGGACAGGAATCTTTGCAGGAAGCAACTTTGTTCGTACTGGTCGGTTTGAAACCTGAAGCTCGGTGTTGAATTTGTGTTCCATTTTGGCCTCATATAACTAATTGGAAATTTAGTTGTTGGCAGCATTTCAAGGAAGATAAAGGTGGGTGTTTATCAGACTTATCCTGAAGGACATTGGCAGACTTCCATGGGACTATTTACAAACTGTTTGAGACTCATTACGGGCTGTAAATGACTAAAATTCATAGCCGTTGAAATAAAGAAAACAGGGTTTGGGGACTAACGTGTGTTTGTTAGTGTCTCCATAAGTCTTGGTCAGAACATGTAGATGATTAGATAGATAGATAGATAGATAGATAGATAGATAGATAGATAGATAGATAGATAGATAGATAGATAGAT